AAGAACTAACGGGGGTTCAAAGAAAACAGCCGAGTAGGGGTCCCCGATTAAGTCAAACGACAGCTGATTTCTTTCCTCAGGAGGACATGCACATACTACATAAGTCAATAAATACGTTGGACGCATCTTGGACCTCTCCCCGTGTGGGGTCAAATTAGAAGAAAAGAAAAAGATGAAGAAGTAAGATGGATGATGATGGTGGGAGAGTAAAAGGGGAAGAAGAAATCTGCACGTCCAATTTTCTTCACGCGATTTCAAATAATAAATGGACACCCCTATGGCAAGTGTTTGTTCGCCGATCTTATTCTTATTCTTATTCTTATTCTTATTCTTATTCTTATTCTTATTCTTCTTTATTTTATTTTTCTTATTCTTATTCTTATTCTATAGTTTTCTTGATTGCAACAGATGCGATCGGAAGTTGCTGTCGTTGCGGTTTGTCGCCCTTTTAGAGAAATTTTCTTCTTTTTATTTATCCTCGCTGTATCTTTTTTTATGAAAATTATTGATGATCATTGAAAAAAATTTTTTTTTTTTATAGAGAAATCCTGTTAAGTTATTTGTCGATATTTGGTGGGTCAATATTTTTCAATAGTAATCAATAAATTTGTAATAATTATCTTTATATATCTGTAATCAATTTAAATAATAATTTTATATTTTTAATTTAAGTTTAATACAATTAAAATATAATTATTAAATCGTAATATATATATATATATTTATATATTTGTTTTATTTTATCCAATTTGCAAAATATAAAAAAAAAATTGTGTACACAACTCTGACGCAACCCTTATTTAATACAGATGCAATTCTATACCTATTTAAAGTACTGTTAAATTATTATAAATATTTAAAATATTATATATAATATTATAAAAATTATATTATATATATTATTATATTTAAATGTTTTATTTAAATATAATATTAAATATTAAATATTATAATAATAAATATTATAATAAATATTTATTAATATAATTTATATTAATATTTTATAATTTATTAATTATATATATTATTAAATATTATATTTAATATTATAAATATTATTTAAAAATATTAAATTACAATTAAATAGAAATTATTTGATATCTTGAATTTTAGCACGTGCGAAAATGTGTGTCGATGCAACATCCATTTTACTCCTCTCTTTTTTTTTTTTTTTTGAAATTTCATCTATCGTTATTTGATAACTTCATGTCACTGTATACAAAGTTTTTGTAAATTTATTTCGTAATAATCTGAAACTAATGATGTTATAATTAATCTAAAGTTTGTGTCAGAGTTTTGAATTGAACCCAAATTATATTTTCAAAAAAATATTTCATTTATTTCATTAAATGATACAAAATGGTAATTTTGTAACCTTCAGTATTTATACTTTAACCTTGTGAAGGTTGAGTATTTGATGCGTGAAAATTTGAAATGAAATATGCGAGGGTGGTTATAACCGTCAGGTGAAGCATTCTGATTCTGAAGAATAGAAAAAAGTGGGTCTAGAGGTACCTGCATAGCATCCATTCTTGAGTGCAGTCAGTGCATCTAGGACATGGATTTCCAAGATGTAGGATAGAAAGGAAAACACGAATGAATAGACTCGAACCACGCTTGAAAGACTTTTCATTTTAAGGACATTAATGTGTGTGTTGAAAGCTTTTTACTTAAACTAATAAAAAATAAATAATTATTATTATTTTTAACACAAATTAATTCTCCGATTTGTTACTAATAATATCATATAGTATAATAATAATAATGTTTATTTATTAATTATAAATATGTAGTCTAATTATTCGATTAAACGGTGACTTTGTTTTACGAACGACACGGTGAGCTTGAAGATTAAATCTGTTTTCAAAGTTTCTGCAATTTTGTACATTTCTACTTACTTATCTTCACCATGCAGATGAGGTAGCATAATTCAAATTAAGTTTTTAAATAATATGTTAATAATTATTTAAAATGATATGCTTCAATTTCCTAAAATCGCATTTGTTTATGAACTATTCCAAATATAGTATGAATGGTCATAATATATGAAATCAAACAATTACCTTTTACACGATTGTTATATGTGTGACTTGTATTTCTAAAATTTACAAATCTTAACGTACTAACCCCCATAGTTCGGTTAGAAGGAAGGGAAAAGGTCGGCTTAATTTTGTTATTTTTGCTTTTTATCTCGAAACAAATCTAAAGAAAAATCTACAATATTTTTATTTTTTTTAGACTAAATTGAACAAGGATAATTCCGTCATTTTGTTACACATCCTATTTTTTGATTTTACATATTAAATATAAATTGTTTATAAACATAACAAGCAAGTTCATCGAAGATCGAAAAGAATTGAGAAAACGGGCAGTCAATTTCGAAAGTAAAAAAGAAAAGGGATTAAGGGGGAGGGAAAAGGGTCGTCTTGGTTTGGTTGTATTTGCACGTGCAGCAGTTCGAATGTACAGGTCAGACGGTGCAGCAACCATAGCCCCCCCACAGCGAGTACCGTAAAGAAGTTACCGTGCATTCTCGGTGCTCCAATACGGTGTGCCCTGTGGATTAAGGGCACCGGCCCTTGCCATTGGTTATTTTCTATCCCTACCATTGAATGAAGTTCCTTATAAAAGGTGAGGCACATTGCACGAAGTTGGTTAGTTTCTCCCGGCGCGCACGACTTTCAGTCAGTCGTTCGGCGTCTCCCGGGCAAGCAACATCGTTTCGCTTAAATTTATCTTCTCAATTCTTTTTTTTTTTTTATTCTCTTTCTGCTTAGTTTTTTTCTTTCCCACTTGCAACGGAATTCTACCATCGTGCGTATATGTATGCTACTAGTTCGTGCAACAAGTGCTATAAGAACGATTTCATTTCGTCTAATATTTCACAGTTTATTCAAGTCAAACTTTTTATTATTAATTACAATATTAAATTATGTTTTTACTTTAACAACATTGAAGATAAAAAATATGTTAAGAGAAGCCAAAAAAATGGGAAAAATAAATATGGAAAATTGTGAAGTGTGTAAATGTGCAAGGTATAGCTTTTCGATTACAAATCGTAATAAGAAATTCTATTACCGAGCTGTTGTATCGTGTTATATCATTCCCTATCTTATAAGTCGTTATACTACGAAAGAAAGAAAGCACAGTTCATCAAATTCTAATTTATCAGTACAGTGCAGTGTCGTGAAACGACTTTTATTAGTTTCGAAGTAAATTTCCAAGTAAATTGGAAATGCGAAGAGTTTGTGCGATTTTTCTATTCTCGTTCAATTTTATACGGATTTTTAACATTGTGATGTGAAAAAAGCAAGAGGGGGAAGAATGGAGAAAAAAATAGAAATTCTTGATCAATAAGGGGTATCCCAAGAGTCTTTTTACTGACCATAAAAATTCTTTTTCGTCAAATATTTGAAATACCGGCATTACTTTCTAACCAAACCATGTAACAGAAAATTCGTATCTTAAAACGAACAATAAAATATTATAATTCTATTGAATAAATCTAATATTAATTAATCACTTTATTTTTATTTTCTCAGTAAAAAAGATTTTTGAGACACCCCGTATATTAAAAATAAATTTCTACTACACACTACTCGTGTTCGAAATTCAACAATAAAATTTTGTTAGTTCCAAAATATATATTATATTAATAATAACAATACATATATATATATATATAATGGTCTACAAAAATTATATTTGAACATCTTAAAGATTTACAATTGATATTATTAATTATTAAATAAAATAAAAGAAAAGAAAACAAGTGTAAATTTTTAAGCAAATTTGATTGGTTACTTGTCGTTCGATTTGTGCAAATTTGATTGGTACTCGCGTCATTTGGTTTCGCGCGTTCGATCGGTACTTGTCGTCAATGTTCGCGCGTCTTCGCGTGGTGTCGCGCGTTCCACTGTGCTCTCTCTCTCTCTCTCTAACTCTTTGTTTTTTTTCTTTCTTCCTTTCTCCCTTTCTCCCTTCACCTCCCACCACTCGACGATTATTGCCAGTTGCGCGCCAACTCTCGGCACGAAAGAATCGTGAATTTTGTTCTAGCGATTGAACGAGTCAGGGCCAAAAAGTAGGACGGTGAAGTTTCTGAATGAAAATCGAAGATATATATATATATACATATATGTATACATATATACATATATATTTATTTATACAAATGTATATACAATACGTATAGGATAATACAACTTGAATAGGATCTCGATCTAAAAAATCCTCGGTAATGACTAAAGCATTTTAGATAAAAATAAAAACGAAATAAAGCAGAATTTGTTTTTGTTTTTCGAACGTAAAACAATTATCGTAATAGCACTTGAACACGTGGGAAGAGTAGCTTTACCGATTTGTTATCAATACGCACGCTTCGAAGGAGCATCGAGAGATCGCGAACATATTTGAAGCAATGATGCTTGTGTGTGATACATTTTTACTTCGTAAAAGAAAAAAAGAAAAGAAAATTATTTTTCTTAAATACAATTAAAACTAAAAAATTCCTAATAAATTTCATAGATTATTTTTTTTCTTTTTTTTTTTTTTTTTTTTTTTTTTGACATCTCGTTGCTTTAACTTGGACGTTGTTTCTCTCGACTCCTTTGCATGCACAGGCATGCTTTGTTGTTCGCACGTATTGTTTGCTCTTTTTTTAGTGTCTCTCTCTCTCCCTCTTTTTTTTTTTTAATCTCATGGTTTTCTCAAGTTATTGGATTAGTATAGCACACAGTTTTAAAGATTATTGATGCAGTTAGTAAATTGAAAAGGTATTGCAAAAAAATTGTTTATTTTCTTTTATTCTTTTAATTAATTTGTTTTTTTTTTTGGTTAATTGGTCGAGTCGTAATTTTCCCGCCGTTTTCTAATTTATTTATTTTTAATTTTTTTGTTTTGTTTTTGTATTTATACATCTTATTTATATTATTTTATATTCGATAATTTACTTACGTACATTAATTAAGGAAAATTTTCTTTCTTTCTTTTAATTACAGTCTTTTCAAGAATGTATTTAGAATTAGAGGTACGCCGGAAAAGGAGTTAACTCCTAAACAAAAAGGACGAAGATTAGTGGGCATGGCAGCACGAAGGATTATCAGTCTCGACACCATATCGCCATCTACCAACAAAGAAAATGGAACTATTAACCGAAACGTTATCGCTAGCCCACAGAAGGTAAGAAAATTTTCTAACTTATCGACTCACGAATCTTTTTTTTACAACATGCATTTGAATCGTTTCATTTCGTTTTATTTTTTTTTTTATTTTTTTTTTTTAATGAAATAACGAATTCGAATTAAAATTTGATATTTTACCGTACACTTTTCCATATTTTATTTATCCGGTTTATGCAAAATCGTATCACTCGACTTTACATTCAATTTCCGTTTGGAGATAGATTCGGTGATAATCGAAGTCTATCCTAAATTCTAAATAAACGTACTTTAGATTAAAGACGACTCAATGTGCCGTTGTAAAATACAGCTGTCCTGTTCTGAGACATTTTGTCATAGTGATATCTTTAGAAGAAAAAAAAGAACAAAATAAATAAATGTCTTCAGTCGCATCAGTAGATCCGAAAGATCCTAGATAGACGACAAGATCTTTAGACGAATGACTCTCTCAGTTATTCCTTTTTTTTTCGAATTTAATCCTTAATCGAATATCCGCCCCCCCCCTGTACCACCGGAAGTATTCCCGTATTGAGATAATAAGATAATAAATTTGTTAACAATTTTTCAAATTGTTAAATCGAGTGGACAGATATACTAATTTTTATTTTACAAATTTAGATATGAGTTCATTTTGGTACTTTGGATCATCAATTGTTTGATAAAACGTTACTTTTATTTATTTGATTAATATTTTGTAAAATAAATGATCAATATTTACAATAAGATTTGTATTTTATTATAAATATTTTACATTTATTTAAAATATTGATTAAAAATGTTAAAAATAACAAATTCAATAAATAACAACCCTTAGATGATGTTCGCAACAGTTCTCAGATATTTCGAAGAATTAATCGATTGATTTTAGAATTTTGATCATTTGTAAGTCAATAATGGCGATTTAAAAATTGAAATAATTTTGTAATAATTATTTTAATACATAATATTGTATTTATTTCATTTTTAGTTATTAAAATTGAATAAAAAAAAAGATTATTTTATGTCTTCTTTTATTTCATTTCTCTCTTTCATTTCTTTCGTATTTTTTTAGGAAAAGGTGTTTGATTATGTGTCTCTTCTTGTTTGATTATCTTACAATTAAATATTTTCGATCTACTAAATTTAGAATATATTATTCTAAAACATCCTGTAAAACATATGCTTTGATAAACATACAATGACATAGTTCCAGTTGGTCCGTTAGCTTTTCAGATTTTTCCATAATCGTATGCGCAACACCTTGCACTTTATCGACGGGTGCATCCACGAACTACCGGAAAATATATTTTTCTTTCACATTTTTAAATCAACTTTAAATTTTCTAAAACGGAAATACGATACGGTTATTATTTTAATCTTAAAAATAAAATAAAACATTTTTGTGTTTTAAATAAATAAAACAAATAAACTTTTTAATTTTTAATTAATTTCGATTAGATTATAAAAATTAAATAATTTAATTAAAAAGAAAAAATAAAAACAAATTTAATGTTAAATATTTTCAATAGAAGAAAATTTAAAATTTTTAAATATAATTATTTATTTGATTAATATTTTTTATTATATATATATAAACGTATATGTGTGTGTGTATGTGTGTAAATGTATTTTATATAATAAATGCACGCTATATATATGAACATTTGTTTCATTATTACGTAAGTATAATATTTTTTATTTAATTAGTATCATTTTACATACTAAAATATTATTTTAAATACTAATTATATATTTTTTTTTTTTTTTTAATATATATTTTTATAGTTCTTTATTCTATTATTTTATTTGTATTACAGAAAATCCACATAATTACTAAAATCTTAAATATATTTTATGCTCAATGTTTAATTTTTAATTTGTAGTATATTGTACACCTTATAATATTAAAATGTAATAAAATAAAAATAAAATATTTCTGCATATTTTACTTGTTTTCTTTTAGTAAACCAAAATTTTACAGCTTAATCAAATACATAGGGTATCCTGTAATTGGTAGTACACAAACGAAGGGGGATTATCAACATGAGAAACTAATTCGAAAATTTAGAATACAAATTTGTTTATATAATTATTTGTTTTCGAGTAAAATAAATTTGAAAATTCGTCAAGTATACATACAGTTGATGCATTCTAATTATTACCATTAATTAATAAAATAAAATGATTATATAAACATTCGATGTAATTATTAATTCTGTGTTATTTAAAAATAAATTTAATATTTATTTATTAAATAATTATATACATAGTGCCGAATTTCTTAAAGAAAAACAAAATGGCGATTTTGATGCAATGAATTTAATATCAAAGCACAGAATTAATTTCTACACCTAATAGAAAAATTAATTATTTAATAATATATTAACTATTAATTTATTTATTAAATTATTTATTTAATATCAATTATTAAATAATATATTAAATATTTAATAATATTATATTAACAAATACAAATATTAATAAAAAAAAAAGAAAATGAACATGATAAACTAGACAAATATTGATTAGTATTATTATTGTTTGATTACAGACGACTGTAAGTAAAAAATCACGTTTTCCATTGGAAGATTGCGACCCAAACAATCAAGATAAAGAATATGGAAATACTAATTTACTCGAGAGAGATAACCGTACTGGTTTTCAATTTGCGGAACCTCTTGGGGTTGCACCAAGGCGTATGTCTGTTGATCAACGAAGTCCGATGCAATCTCCGATAAGATCATCACCTCATGGACTAGTGACGGATCCAATGATCTTTCGGAGTTTATCATCGGGTTACGAGAGTATGGACGATGACTTGAACGATCTAATGGATTTGGATGCACTGGATGAGGCAACCCATTTACCAAACGGTTTGACGAGTCTTCTCTCTGGTAGCATTGTTGGATCAGAAATAATGAAATATGCAATAATAACAACCCCAGAATATCCACGTACAAAAGTAAAACGTTCCTTTCGTCGTTCTTTATCACTTCAAAATGACAGAACTAGTCCACAATCATCGATATCGAAAGTACGTTCCTGTCTATTTCGTTCACCATCAACAACCTGTTCAACTCGTAAACTTTCTTTCGATGAAAATGTACAATCCCGCACACAGTCGTATTCTAGTATCATGGATTCATCCTCAAATCAACCAGTAAGATCTTATAAAAGATCAGAACCACCGGCATCACTTAGTCCTCGGTTAAGCAAAAGGTCTAGAATATCGATTGATTTTCAACATATACCAGAGAATGTAGAATTGGAAATATCATCGAATCAAAAGGCATCATACGTAACGGATATCGAAACGAAACTAGTCAAAAAATCTAATTTAAGCATAGAGGATATCACGGATGAAGTTGACTTTTGTAATGTCTCGATGAAAGAATCTTTTGATGATAAATTTGAGGATAGCCAAGCGCATGCCTTGATCAAATCAGCGATACATCGTAGTGTGACCGATGCCGATCTAACTGGTGATTTTAGTAAACCTTGTATTCTACCTCTTGCCGAGGGTCGACACGATGACCTTAAATCTATCTCTGTAGATACATTAGCTGCTCTGATGCGTGGTGATTTTAAACAATACATCGATTCCTTTGTAATCGTTGATTGTCGATATCCCTACGAATTCGATGGTGGACACATCGAAGGAGCTCTTAATCTTTATAGTAAAGAATTAATTGAACAACATTTACTCGATCCCTTAACAAACATACCAGAAATTCAACCAAATTCAATCAAACGACGTATTCTCGTATTCCATTGTGAATTTTCTTGGGAACGTGGACCAAATCTTTCACGATTTTTACGAAACATCGATCGTCAACGTAACAAAGAACATTATCCTGCTCTTCATTATCCAGAAGTTTATCTTTTACACGGCGGTTACGAACAATTCTACAAAGAACAACGTAATCTTTGTGTTCCTCAAGGTTACAAACCAATGTCTGATCCAAATCACGAGGCCGATCTTAAACAATTCCGTGTTAAGAGCAAAAGTTGGCAGGGTGAAAAACCTGTAAGTAGGTTGAACAGTCTTGTGGTTAGGACGAATATCAAACGATTAGGTTTCTAAAACTTTTTTCTTTTCTTTTCTTTTTTCTTTTATTATTATTTTTTGTTTTGTAATATTTTTTTTCTTTATTTTTTTCGAATCTCTTCTTCGTATTCTCACGTCAAGTTTACTTACTTAGATACGTTTAAAAGTGATCAACTAATTTTTGGTGATGTATTGTTACAAAAAAAAAAAAGAACATTAACTAATCCTATAATTTAATTTAATTTTATATATATATCTATCTATATATATATATATTATATTATGTATGTTTCGGGATTGAACGCGCGAATTTATTTTTTCTTCTTCTTCTTCTTCTTCTTCTTTTTCTTCTCCTCTTTTTCTCCTCTTTTTCTTTATATTATTTTTTTTCTTATCTTTACTCAAAATACAATCGCGCGTTCAAAGTGCAAAAGGAACAAGGATACTCGGATCGAATTATCTTTGTTCAATAAATATGTAAGCTAGTGAACTTGTTTAGTATCCGATTTGAGATTACATCGTAGTGATTCTTAGTGAAAAATTTCTTTCCTTCCCTTTTCTCTTTCTTTTTTTTTTATCCTTCTTTTTCTTATTTTAACTTTTTGTTTCTTTGTACATATCTCTATTATTTACTTTTCGTTCTTCCATATGAATAGATTTAAAATCAATTCAAATCATCACGTTAACCAACAAGACAGAAAAAAACAAAATTTAAAGAGAAAAGAACGTACAATCAAATTAGAAAAAAAAGAATTTTAGAGCAAAATAATTTATAATATTAGAAAATTAAAAAATGTCTCTGGTCTATTATACCTTTTAAGATGCTTATATAAATAAAATATTAATATATTACATCATAAGCATCAATTCTAAAAGAAAAATTATTTAAATTAGGAGAAGAACGTCTTTTTTTTTGGATCATTCCTTCTCGTTGGAGAAGAAAAGGCAAACAACAAAAACAAATCAAAAGATAATGAATAAATCAAAGATGCAATAGCTCCATTAGCCTGATCTATTAAAAAACGATCAGAGGAGGAGCGGCGTGGAGCCATAAGAGAGTTTATCGCGTCGCAAATCTTTAATGCTTCCATTTAAAATAATTTTGGGCGAGCATCCCACTTGTACACAGAGACGCTCTACTCTCTTATGACTTTACGATGTAAAAGTAGTCTTTTTACTCCATCATCATTGTTTATTTTAAAGAAATAATTTTGCTGTAAATGTGGGCGACAGAAAGAGAGAGTGTGTGTGTGTGTGTGTGTGTGTGTGTGTGTGTGTGCGTATGTGTGTGCGAGTATGAATATATGTATACGTATGCGTATGAGTATGTTTACGAGAAAAAAATAAAAAATATGCATATGTGTATAAGAGAAAGAGAGATAGAAAACAAATTAAAAAAATGTAGTATTTTGTTATCGTCATTGAGAACATTTTCAAATAGACGATACCACCAAAGTATTTCCTATCTAGCAAATTATCTAAGTTAATTACCTTTTCTTCTTTTGACAACATCTATTACGTTCAAAATGGCAGAGTATTGCTTTATGGAACATAAATGGATGACAAGAGTATTCCTAAATGTGCAAAGTTCCCAATGTTATATAACGTAACTATCATTTTCAAAGTTAAATATACATTGTAAGCTAAAACTATACATACATAATTTGATTTTATTTTATCAATGTACATTTGTTTCATTCTTAAATGGTCTTTCTCTTTCCTTTTTTTCTTCTTTATGTTATTATTATGTTTATGATAAAACAATGTGAGAAAAATATAATATAAAGATAGTTGAAATGTACAGTTGGATTACTAATTAATTAATGCTGAGGAAATTACGAAATTCTTGGGATCAATAATGCAGTTGGGACTTTTGTAAAAGAAATCTTATAAATAATTATTAATTAACAAACATATGTATATATAACTTTCATTTTTAACATAAATTTTCATATCACTGAATAAATTGAAATGACTGCTTCTTAGTAATTTATATTCTGTTAACATTAACATTACTTTCAAAGTGATCAATTATTTCTAATTTGTTGTTGGCATTATTGAAACACCATAAATCAAAGGTATTGTATTTTCAGTAGCTTTTTTTTACCAATTTTCTTTTAACTATCTCAAAATGATATAAAACTGCTAATAATTGAAAAATTATTCTTTCTATTACCCTTAGTCATGGGACCTGGTTTTTGTGTTGGAAATAATATTTCCACTTATTGGAATATTATTTATACATGGAAATATTATTTGTACATTATACCCCATTAAATAAATGGGTGGATTGAAAAATTTTGAACCTAACGTATGAGATGGGTTGAAAAAGTCTTGAATTTTATGATTTTCCACACCTTATTAGGCTCAAAACTTTTCAATCCTGCTCATGTGAGACTACAAACTTTTCAATTCTTCTAATGCGAGGTTCGAAACTTATTAGAGGAAATTACTTTGTTTCTTGTGCGCCAGATGTTATATATGCAGGTTATTAAACATAAATTTAAATCATACAATCATAAGACAACAAAAGTATAATACAATGTATAAATAAAATCAAAAATTATAAAAAAAAACTGCACTGTAATATATTTAAATAACACAATAGAAAAATTATTTGAAATTTGAAAGATTATAATTATTAATTAATAAATTTCTCATTACCTTAACCTCTAAATAGTATGTTTTTAGTATGAGATTGGGAATTACTGTAATTAAGAATTATTGCGCATGCGCATAATGAACAAAGTTCTCTACTAGATAACAAAAAAATAATATCATTTGTATAATATGTTTCCAACTTATATTTAAACTCAAGTAGCAATATATTATATTAGCAAAAAAGTAATTTTGATTTTTACCAAAATTGTTTGTCTCAAAGGACTTCTGTCAATGCTATAATTTTTTCCTTTTGATATTTGATGTAGTTTACTTTAAAAGAAAATTGTGCATTATTTTGTTTGCAGTTGTCAATTTAGAGTCAATTTTAATATTCAAAAAAAAATTAAACACCCAATTCTGATGACGAAAAATCACTAATGATAATGACCTTAATACAGTTTTTTTACTGATAAGAACCAAAAGTACTATCAGCACGTGATCATGAAGTTGCCAGAAAAAAATGACAAAAAATCATCAAACAAAATGGAAAATATTATATATACATATAATTAAGGTTTATTCTTTGTATAAAAAAAATGTATTTTTATTTCACACTACAAAACCGAAATTACTTTCTTATCAATACAATAGTTTTATTACATATGTGTTATTACAACTAATAAATAGTATTTAATAATATCTAAACGTTTATGCCAATGATTACAATGATTATGTTTTATTTTCCTTGTATTATGCTGTTTTTTTGTGTGTTTCATTTATTGGATTAATTGATTCAATTTGTTCTGCCAATAAAACAAATATCTGTGTGACGTAGTCACTTGAAATAAAAAGTAGGGCAGTGATCAACTGTTTCAGCTATTTAGACTCGCATTTTTTTCCAAAAACAAATTCTTGAGCTTGATATAAGCTAGCTCAGCACAATTTATGCATACATAATATTAATCTTTAAATTGTTTTTGAAAACGATCCTAATGTAGCATCAATCAACCATGATCTATCAAAAATAAAAGAAAGTTACATTTTAATAACACTTTTAAAATAAACATATTTCGAGCAAATATATTGTAACATTGTAGGTAGTATACATGTAGGCAGTAACATTGTACTGTTTAGTACGTTGTAATTTACTTTCAATTGCGTAAAATAGATTTTGACCTATGATACATGTCTTATTTATAGTCTTTTGTAATATAATTACGCGTTTAGTATATAGTATATATATAGGCTTATTTCTTTTTTCTATTTTTTTCCTACATGTGTATTATTAATTAATTTGTCTCTTATTACAATTAACATTAAAATCAATTTTAAACTACTATATTATTAAAATAAATGCAAGAATTAATATGATCACATATAGACGTTATCAAATGTGCGTATATAAAATAATCTTAATGATTCAAGTAGCATTACATTTTTTATTGATATTACATTTTCATTTGAGAACAAAATTTTAATAGATAAATTTTTATTTTCTTTTATTATTGTTATAAGACATATAAATATATATATGTCTTATACGTATTTATATAACGTTTATTATTTGACGTTATGTGTGTTTACTATTTATATTAATATATATATATATATATATATATATATATATATATATTGTTGATAAAAAATAAATATATATATATATAGAATATTTTTCCTTTTTTGTATATAATATATGCATATTTTTGTTGTTGAAATTATATACACATATATATATATATATATTTTTTTTTTTTAAATAATATTAGGTGATTCTAAAAGTTGGTGAAAATCAAACTTTTGCAATATATTGTTATTGTATCTTTCACAAATCTTCAATATCAATGCAATATACTCAAAAGAATATTATATTTAAACGTTAATCTATATGTATATAAAGTAAATAAATAAAAATTTGATTTACAAAAGATACTACAATTAAAAAGAGAAACAAAAGTATTAATATACAAGATGTATATCGTACTGTGATATTTCCTTGCTTAAAATATATACATGTAAATATAGTTTCATTTGTATTATATGTTTTTAACTACGTACTAAATTTTTGTTAGTAACCATTATGTATCCTTAACTATATTTATCGATAAAAACATTATCTGTGCTTTTGTGACTTTAAAATCATAAATCCTATTTTGTAACATATTTTATAGTGCCTTGTTTTATCATCATTATTATCGTCATCATTATAATCAACATCATCCTATTTCAATTTTCTATGATATATTATTCTTACATAGTTTTTTTTACATATTGCTATCAAGATTATTTTCAATGATATTATTTAATCGATATTTAATTAATACGGTACACAACATATACATAATATTCTTACCATATAACTAAAAACTACTTTGAAAACAAGTAGATAATAAACATATTTAATAAACCCCAATTATATTCCAAAATTAATATCAATAATAAATTGACAAAACAATAAAAGTAAGTAAATTATTAAATATAATGTAAGTAATATTATTTGGAATATTATCTGTTCCCATGTGATGTTTATATGTCTCTGTTGTGTATGTATTGTGTATGTGTGTGTGTGCGTATATAGAAATAAAGTAATCTATGAAAAGAATCTATAAAAAAAACCTTTTTTCCGATCTTGATCAATAGCTCTCAAAAATATGCGATCAATATCTTCAAAAACTTTAGCACTTGATTGTGCTGCATTAATATAGTAATGAATACCTTGCAAAGCATAATAATCGACCAGTGGTTGCGTTTGAGTATGATAAACGGATAATCGTTTTGTTAAAGCTTCTGCATTATCATCCGATCTTTTAACTAAAGGTTCACCAGTTTCCTGTTAATAAATAAATTATTATTATTTTATATATGCGAATTCATTAAGTGATATAAATGACATATGTATCTCATTAATATTCAAATAAATCAAATTACTTACATCATCTGTCATAGGTTTTTTTGGTGGTGCAAATTCTTCGTGATACGATCTACCACTTGCAGTGTGTATCAAACGACCAGTGATTCTTTTTATCAATAATTTGTCATCAATTCCAAATTCAACTACAGCGTCGAGTTTTGTTTTTCTCTTTTTTAGCATTGAATCTAACTGCATAAATACAATAATTATTAGATATATTTATACGTACGAGTGTAGTTAGCAAGTTAAAAAGATTAAATATCTACTTTTAATCTTTTTAATACTACTGATGACTATAGTCATCAAAAGTTTAATGTTAGCAATGTGCTAACAATGTCTTAGCATGTTAGGACATTGCTGTCCAATGTTAGTGTCAAAATAACCTCTATTGACATTGGTACATAATAATCTTTTTTAGAACCTTGAACTTATATTTATCTATATCAAAAATAAAATGATACAATCACGAAAATGAAGTAACCTAAATATATAAAAATTGATATTGTAGAATAACATTTAATTTTATGACTTATATTGACAGAATTTTGACTTCTCTTTGTGATTAGTATAACAAGTAATATATGCCCTTCAAGTACCAAACTACATTTTTTAGTCACCTTGTATATATTTTTGATATTTTCATTATATATAAATTAATAATAGTTATTTTATTTAAATTTACCTTCTCAGCTTGTGGAACACTCCTTGGAAAGCCATCCAAAAGAAAACCACGTTTACATTCGGGTTTATCCAGATTAGAATCGATCATACTAACTACAAGATCATCGCTAACTAATTTCCCTTCGTCTATAATCTTTTTAACTTCTTTACCAAGAGCACTGCCAGAATTTATCTCAGCTCTTAACATGTCTCCCGTAGATAGATGACAAACGCAATATCTTTCTTTCAATAAAGGAGCCTATAATCCAAAAGATTATTTTATTATATTCATTGTTATATCATGATGATGAACAAAATAATAAATAATAATTTATACCTGTGTTCCTTTTCCGCTACCAGGTGGTCCTAATAAAATAGCATTAATACCTCTCGAAGGTATTTGAATATTTTCTTTTGGTACTTCTTTTGTTTTAGGCGCCATTTTTCTTCTATATATTTGTTGTTAAAATTTATGATTAAATGATGATGGAACTATACAAAATATTTAATATAATAATAGAAAAAAATTTTGAAGACCAGATGTTAACGTGTCCGTACGAATTCGGTCATAGGACGTATGTAATAAATGTATGGAAGAACAATCAGAGACGAACTTGCCACAAGGTCTCCCTCTTTAATTTACTATGTCGTAAGTACTTATTTAAAGTGAATTGATCTTCGACCTATCAGCTTTAACTTTACTGCTTACCGCCAATATTAGAAATTAAAAATGGCGACGAACATTCGCACGTATTTTTAATTTAAAAAATAATATTAAATACGATTAATATTTATTTTTTAATGATCATTTCAATAAATATCATGCTATAATAAATGATTTGATATTATTTTTTATATCGTTTTTAATGAATTTTAAAGGAATTTAAAAATCTAACCTAACTTCGCGTGACTTATTTTGCATGCAATTTAGATTATATAAGGTTGTAATTTTATGCAAACCTATCTTTGTTCCCATGACCTATTATTACGTATAACAATATTATAATAGATCAAAATATACAGATCTTAAAAAATGTTGTTAGATGATTACGTATTGATTTAAAAAATAATTGCATTAATTTCAATACGTATAAATTTATCTTACATAACAATTTAATTTATTATTTTAAAATTATCTAATCTCCCATATATATAAAAAAAAAATTGCTAAAAAAAGAAAAATACTTTATGCAAATAAATGATAAAGATATATTATTATTATTATTATTATTATTTATATACCTGTTCTCACTTATATTTGTTTAAAAATATACATAGGAAGTATGAAAATAAATGTAATATCATTTGTATTTTATTATATTAAATTCTGTAATATGTTTTTCCTTTTTTTATCTTTGAATGAAATTTTTCGTTAAGCAATTTACAATTTATATATATTGAGAACGTAGCAATGATTATAAAAAATATCGGTCTAAAACATAATAGAAAATTTTCTTTAATGTCATTATAATAAATTTGATTTTTCCTCAACATCTTTGAGAATCAAAATTCTATTATTGTGAGAAAAAAGAAAAAGAAAATACCTAAAATATAATATATTAATCATCATGATATACATAAATAATATTTCATAATACTCCAGAAAAATATATGACTATTTATTGTTACCAGATAATAGGATAAAATCCAGAATTTTGTTCCCCAAAGTAAGATCCTATATTTAATTAGTTTTCTTATTAGTTCTTAAAGTATATGAATTGAGAAATCTGTATATGTCAATATATATATATATAATAGCATTTTACAGCAAATAGAAGCAATTTCTCTCAGCATCCAAATTATGTGTAAAAATATAATTTATTCCTCTTTATCATCGAAGGAACAACAAAAGGAACCCTTTAGTAAAAAGCAGTTGATATCTCTAAACACCAACAAGAGTTTATCCGCCTGTATACATTCTGAATGTTTACAGATCTTAATACTCTTATTATAGTTTTATTAATAAAATGATTTACCTGCATCAAAAAATTTGTATGCAAGAATCTGCTTATATTTGCAAGTGTATTTAGGGAAGTATGGCGATATTGTAATATTATTATTGTGTGAATTGTTATCATGTTCACAAAATGTTTTTTCGAAGTTGAATAATATCATTTAACAATGGACAAGATTATTGTCTATATATGTATAATCGCTACAAAATCTTTTGTTTTTGTTTTTTTTAATGGTTTGAATCACTTTTTCTACTTATGATGTATTTCAGCTTCTTCTTATTCTTTTTTATTTTTCTAACTAAAATATAAATAAAACATCATCTCTCTCTCTCTCTCTCTCTCTCTCTCTCGCAAAGATTATATGAACATATTTAGATGGTGCAATTAACATATTAAATATTAGCGCTTGTACTGCTTGTCTACGACTAAACAGATACTGATTCTCTACATAAATTCTTTTCAGATTGATAGTTGATCTGATTTATTACAGAACTTTTTCTGTGTTTTCTTAAAAATTAATTAAATAGAGAAAAAAGTAAACGACAACAAATACAACATGATTATGCATAAAATGTGCTTACTTAAAATAAAAAAACAAAGGAATCTTGCTATTGCACGCAGAGCCGGCGTTCAGTGTATTAAAATTTGTTTTTCTTTTTAACAAACAGTGCAAACATATAAAATCTTTTTGTCCACATAAAGCTGTATTATGCAGGTAAACTTGTTGTGTGTGTCTGTGTGTTTGACCTATTTTAAATAAAAATCTTTGCTAAATCGTTGGGCTTATGTATACATATATATATATATATATATATATATATATATATATATATATTACTCTAAATATTAAAAATTTGTCACCTATTGTAAACTTAGATTTGGATAATATTCATGCTTTTTTTTTATTCAATTATAATTTACTTATTTTAATCATTTTTAAACAAACGCTAATAACAAAAAACATAAATAATAATATATATATTTATATGTAAATATAATTAAATAGATTTTTTTAGTTTATCTGACCAAAATTTTAGAATCGATATGAGGACGGCGTGAAAATGGATAAAAATATATTTAAACTACAAATTTCTATTGCATTTGAACTCTTTGACATATTAAATAGCAAATATATAATAGAGATGATAATAATAATAATAAATCGTAAAACTATAAATTACATAAATGTGATAATATTGCTATATATAGTTTGCTTTTCTACTTTATTGTAGATTGCAAAAATAAATAATTCAATATTTAATAAATATATGCGTGTCTAATAATTATTACATTTGGAACCCTGTATTTAGTATTAAAAATTTAATTTAAATCAAACTTATCAATTAATCATTTTTTATAGATAATACCATTGATTTAATGCACATAGTTCCTGCATAGTACTTAGTAAAAGAAAGCATATAGACGCTTTTTTATAAAGTTTTTAAGTTTCGTTCTGTTAATCTATGTCCATACAAACTCTGAGTACAAATTATATGTACACATGTTTTTTTATTATTATTATTATTATTATTATTATTATTATTATTATTATTATGAATTTATTTGTGGATTACGCATTTAGCTAAAACTGAGACTGTCTGTTTGATTCCTAAAATATTATGTATTTTTAAGTTAAGATTAGAAATATTATCATAGTCAATTATGTTTTTTTTTCTCTCAAATATTGCATGATACTTGGTGTTAACATTTTATCATCTAGAAAAATTGTGTGTACATCTCACGATTATTTTTATTATTTTGTTTCGCATTTTAAATGTAACATTTTATTTACCAAATTTTTGTATTCTTTTTTCTTTTTTGGTTTTACTCACGATCGTTAAAAATGTTTAGTTATCTGGTCATAATGACTCATTAACAATATTATGTAATATCCTAAAAATGGCAATATTATATATATATATAACTAAATACTTCTGCATATGTGTAAAATAAATAATCACAGAAGCATGAAAACTAACATTGTATGTATCACACATTTTACCTTTCAAGGCAAAGTGACCATTTCATTTCTTTTTTACGATAGTATGCAAATATTCTATTATATATATATATATTCATATACATATATCGCATAAGAATACTTAATTAAAAAATGTCTAATCTAAATTGTACTATATTGCTTTATAGAAAGAACAAACTAGATAATCATTCTAATTTAAAGGTACAAATTCGCAAACTTTCACTAATATCGTGAAAAAGCGTAGAAGAAAAATATATTTGCATTTATCCCCAAATTACATGCATTTCTTATTTTTTTTCTCTTTTCAATAAAATAACATTCACATACTAATGCTATAATAATGATAATATAATAAAATGTAATATATTAAAAACAATAATACTCCTATGTAATGATAATAACTTTAGAATATTTGCATATAATCGATTTAACTGATTGTACAGGTCACATGGTAAAACTACTATTTGCAAACCTTTTTTTTACTTATAGTTCATTTTTTAAAATGTTAAATAACACTGCAAGGATGGTATTATTCATATATAAATCAGCACAGCTTCATCTTCGTCATCCCTATTCCTCGTCCTTTGCTTATAATGTGCAATACAGAGTTTTAAATCTGCATGTTAATTATTATACAAACGCGTTTAGTTTTATTGTAAATATACATATGTACGTGCACATATTTTGGGAAATTCATCACCGAGCAATTATTTTTGTACAATACTATATTAATAATAAATATCTTTCTCTACCTTTTACAAAGATATATGTATATATATATATCTTGTAGTAGGTACATTTTTGTATTTAATATAAGCGCTATTTATCATCAAGAAACATTGCAAAGATTTTAACGCAATGTAATTATCAAATTCATTTTTCTCTCTTTCTCTTGCTCTCTCTCACTTTTTTACATTCTTACATTAATTGGGTATAATAAATTATTTGCCTCATCTTTCATCGGTAATTAAAATCCAACAAATCATCTTGTTCACATTTCAATATTTCAATTTCATGCCAAATATCGGTCATGTTTAAAAAGTGAAGTAAATATTATCCAAATGCATCTTATCCATCAATACCTTACCAGAAAAGTGTAAGTCCATATACAAACCATTAGCTGAAATCTATATAGAAGAAAGTTTCATTTAATCTTCTTTGTATATTCATCTTGAAAAAAGTTTCAAAATACCGTGTTTAACAGTAATTCTCAACAATTGATATTCCTCAACAGTGTAATGATTATTTAACACATTAGTTAATCTAATGTGTTAATCGCCTATTTCATATAGTCTCTTGACTATTAACCGATTGTGAACTGCGTGATGTTTTACGATTCATTGGTTCCAGATAAGCGGCTGGTGCCCATCCTTCAAGACCTGTTCCTATGAGTTTAACAAACCACCAACCTGCGCAACCAACTTTCAGTAGTTCTAAATTGTCACCTTCATGCATAGTGACTTCAGATTGTCCAACAGCACAATAATCTGCTAATGCTACATATCTTCCACCCTAATGGTAAATAAATATTTTCTATCATATATATGTATTATACATAAATATATATAAATAAATATATATTATGTATAATAAATGTATTTTTCTTTTTAAAGCTAATATTATATTCCCATTAACTTGGAAATAATAAACTTACAGGTGCCGAACCAGGACTATCACCGAAAGCATCTTCATCGTCAGTATTACTATTTTCTGAACTCCAAGCAACATCGTCTTCCGTTGATTGAGACACATCAGTTATGTGTGATATAACGCTATTGCCATCCACTGAAAGTGTGCGTAAAGATCCAGAAATACTACTTTGAGCTTCCCACGATATCGTTTGACGTAATGGCCTACAATAAAAAATATAAAGAAGTAAATCAATTCGATAAGAATGGAAACTATTTTATGAAATTTATACTTGTGATTAGATTTGCCAAACGCCGAGTTTTGTTTCCCTTTAAGTTCAGCTAATTGAGACATTAAAACACCTTTGATTTGTTTTACCCAAGATTGTTTGACGTCTATACTTGGTGCTTGTATTGTATGAACTTCGGCTCTACCTTGAAGCCAAATTTCAAATCGTCTTGCATCACCTTTTACTGATTCTGTTAAACCAATCTGAGACATCTATATCAAAAGTTAACGATTATATACTCTTTAAAATATGAAAAATTCAAATTATACAGTCGTACCTTTAAATATCTTTTGAAATGATACGTAGCTTTATTGTGTGCTTGAGGCTTACTGTGCTTACAGAATATAAGCGCTTTTTCATATAGGAAAATATGTCGTTGTGATGGTTTTAATCTTAAAAGATTGAGTTCACGTTTACTGCTGCTCCAAACACTAAATGAACCTTGCAATAAAAGTTCACCCTGTGCACTTAAATCACCCTGAAGATAAAATAAAATAAAAAGTAAATAAGAATTAAGAACATTATAAGAATTAAAAATTCAAATTTAATATGTATGCCTTTACTTACACCAAAACCAGTGATAGCAGTTTGATGCATGCTATCGTTAACACACTTCAATACGACCAGCATACAATCTATGGCTTCTTGCAATTCTGTGCAACACGATGGCTCATTGCTATACTTTAATAAATCTTTTAATAATAGTTGATACTTAGTAATTCTTTGAACAGGTTTTAGAAGGTAAGCTGCAAGCGGAAGTTTATGGCCGAGTCTTTGTTGACATGCTGCTAAAAATTGTGGTTCGTTTTGTATTTGTTCTCGTAATCTTTCTGATCTTGGAATATTTTGACAATAATAACTATACAGCCTGAAGAATATCTCTCTCTAAAAAAAATTATTTATACAATGTTATTTAATATTTCAATTCTTCATTGACTTAACAGTAATGATTATCATCAGACATATCCATACCCTTTGAACAAAACAAAGAGCAACAAGTTCAGTATTTGAAATACAGTTTTCCAAATCCCTTAGAAATGTCTCTCCATGAAACATGTAAATTTCCTCTAAGTTTCCAAACAACACTTCAGCTTTGCCAACGAGTGCTGCTGGTATTAAATGAGCCATCGATTCATTTGTTAACTCTAATTTATAACCCTTAATAATGGAGCCTAATTCAGCAACATAAATCCGTTCGGTATCAACAAGTTCTGCTAAAACATGGCCGCATTTTAAACGTAAAGCTTCTATATCTCGTGGTTCACTTTCTGGTGATGAAGATTCTCCTTCTATAGGACTCATTTCCATCTTTCATATATAAAAATAAATAATCATATTAAAAAAGTAAATATATTTTAATCTGTTAAGAGTCCCCCCAGAAAAATGAGCGATTATGCAACATTTGTATACAAGCGCCAATTATGTGTCGATCCTTGTTTTGAAATTTACCATTCTCAATCATATTACTAAGAATTATAATTTGACATATTAACCCTTTCGTTACAAGCGCCCACTGTAATTCGCATCAACATGACTGTTTTTCATTCAAATTTACTTTGTAATTGAACTTTGCCATGGATATAGATTTTCTTTTTTTATGTTTGTAAAAACAATAAGCATTCCACATGCATATATCTAGTAAATGTAAATAAATTTGCAATACCACTTCAATGATTTGCATATTTAAATCATTTTTATTTTTCATGCTTGAATATTATTGTAAACTCTGCTGTATGCGTAAAATGTAATTATGTTTGTTTGTTTGTTGTTATGTACTTTGGGATGCAATAAAAAATACATTACTTTACATTACATTATAGTTGTTATGTAACACTTAAAAAATGTACATATAAGAAGATGTTAAGGTAGCTTTGAAAAACATAAGCACAAATACCAAAGACTATTAACGTGTAATGTGCACACTTTTTGGTACGATGCCCCCCCCCACCCCTTCAATAACATTACTCCGGAGAAGTGGACTGCCATAACGGAAGGATTAATTAATGTTCCTAAAATATTTGAAAAAATGTATTCAAATACCTTTGGCATTGTATTAGCTTTCTTCAAGATTCTACCAGGTTTTACAATTTGAGGCAGTGGTTGTAATGGCTTTACTGGTTCTGGTGTTACAGGTTGAACTGGTTTTGCTGGTTTAATTAATTGTTGCTTCAGTGCCATTATTCTTTTATCGCACATCATAGATACATCTTCTATTCTTTGTAAAACCTTATACAATGATTATGAACTTAAATAAAAGTGTTTCTTTTTGTTTAAAGAGGTAGATAAAACGAATCGTAAGAAAAAAATTATAAAAACAAATTCAAACCTGAGTAATAAGTGCCTTGGTTTCTGGCATGATTGAATCTTGAAAAATACATCTAGGATGATGAAATTCTTCTGCAGCTTCTATTAATTGTTGCAGTTCTTGAAGTGCTTGGTCTGGAGACGTAGTGCTGTTTTGTGATGCAAGTAATTCTATACCACGTGTGCACCAAGTATTAGCCTAAATATAAATAAAATACAAAATATTATCGATCAATGAAGTAATTGAGAATGATTTTAAATAAACTGTGTAATTACCTTATCTATACGCTCCATGAGTTCTCTACATTTTGTTAACATATGTAATCGCCTTTCTAATCGTTGACTAAGGATAGTACAAATCCTCTGAAGTTCCACGCATTTTGGTTCGACGACATCCGCAGGACACTGATGTCTTCCAGATAACAATTGTTGACCTGCAGATATCACTTCCTCAGCACGATCTATGTCTCCCTATAAGTATATATATATATAATTATACTTATATGCAACTTAAATTATTAAGACAATAAAACTCTACAAGCAATCATATTTTTAGAAATTTCTTTTTTTTTTTTAAATCTAATAACATCTTTTTATAAAGAAATAGACTATTATATATATGTATATATATATATATATATATAATATACGTGCAGTGCATAGTGAAAAATAACAGTACTCATTCTCAAAATATATCATGCCAATATACGGCATGAATCAAATCTCTATATTTCTTTTTTTTTACAATATAAAAAACATAAATATGTTATATAACAATTTATACTACAAGATAGAGATTTAATTCATTAAAACCGGCAAATACTTGACAAAATAAAAAGATAGATTCGATTTAGATTCAAGTATATACCAATAGACAGAAAATTTAGAAATGTAGATACTAAATTACAGATAGAAATATTTGAAAATGTAAATTCTATCACAGAATAGATGTATTTTGTTAAGTGGATTGCTTACCAAGACCCAAATCCACATGGTATGCAACAAATAGGACTATCGACAAAATGAGGAAAGCGGTGCAGAGTAACATTTTGTGCATGATGTGCATTATATATGTTACTGCTTGTGAAAATATCCAAACCAGAATTCTTTATATTTCTACATTTAAAAAAAAATAAATATTTATATTATATATAAATTTTATTTTGGAATTTTACTTTTTGAATAAAAAAGATTATACTGGTTTGGATCGGTCAGTGCTTTTTGTGCAACATTTACGATTTTAAATTTACAGCTATTAACGTAATTATTTTTGTTCTTTTTTTAAATTAACTGTCCTATGAATTTATATTTAACACTTATGTGTGTTCAATTTAGAGATATCTCTTTCATATATATGTAAATATACATATATATGTACAATATATACACACGAGACATTAAAAGTGACAAATTTTCAAATGGTTATTATGTTTACCATAAATTTTATTCAAGTTGATAGCCTCCTCAGTGTAGCTGTTTTATTCAATATTTGACTTATATATTTTTCAAATAAAGCAGTTAATAACGCACAACAAACTATAATTAACATACACACCCTGCATATTCTTTGAAATGCTGATGTATCACAGAGTAATTGTTCAACTCTTGCTTGAGTCTCTCCAACTTCGGTCATTTCTTCTACAGTTTTTAAATGTTGATCTAACGTTGCTTGCAGCTCTCTGAAGTCTTGTTCGAACTGTCTCAAGGCTAGACAGTGTCTCAAACGTGAACTGTGATGCGACCAAAATAGGTCAAAAGTACGTTCGGTTTCTTCTAGTTGCACAAGTAATCTATGTAGAAAGTAGAAAAGGAATCTCATATAGATTTATTTTTAATACTATACCAGAATTAAGAATTCTTTTTGAAATTTATTATTATTACCTTTCTACTGCTGCAACATTTCCTAATCTATCTGGTGTACTTTTGCCAGTCAATTGTCGTACGCTATCTAAAAGAGCCTCACCATGTCTAGCAGCACTAAGTATTTCTTCTTTCAATTCATTATATTCCGCTTGCTGTTGTGATAATAAAGTTGTAGTAGCAATCGTATTATTTGGAAATTCTATTTCAGCTAAACGTTGAGTAAAAGAATCCAATGCAAGTGATACATCTTGTGTCATAGATGAAAATTTTTCTAAACTCTATAAATTATAAAATATAAAGACGATTATTAGAAATATATTTTTATAATAATTAAATATTAAATATTTAAAAAAACAAATATATTTATATATATATTTACAATTCTATTTTGTATCCAAGTATGATGACAATATGGTAGATTCCCACCTAATTGTTCAGTAAGTTGATCTTTGTCTACAAACTCATAGAGTTCGGTAACATTTGCTAAAAATATAACTCGAAATTTGAAATCTTCTCTGAACAATTTATTTGACACTTCTGATATAGCTTTTTGTAAAAAACCAGCTGGTCGCAAAACATACGCTACGTGTACCAATCCAGGGAAAAATCCCTAATATACAAAAAAATAAAAAACAATGATATATTTTATCAACAAAGACAGTAACAAAAATTAAAAAAAAAATAAAACAATAATAACAAAATAATACCTACAGAAATTTTCAACAAGACTGTTTTGACTGAATTCCACTTATCATTTCTTCTATCAATAATTAAGTGAAATCCAAGATCAGCTTCTTGTAAACTGAAAAATATTTGTTTTATTATATACTCAAAAATAATATTAGATATCTCTCTTTGTTTTTTATAATTATAAAAAATTGATTCTTACGTTGGCACTGAAGTGAGATATAGCATGAGACGCTGATAATCCAAATCAGTCAAATTATGGAAGCTACCATTATCAGGAAAAGTAATTATTGGACATCCTTCTCTTGTCTTACCTCCTACACAAAATTAAATAAATACAGAAAATAAATAAATAAAGTATTAATATTAAAGTTTTGATTATTGATCAATTATCTATATTAAATAAAAATTTAATTTTTATTTACCAGCAATTATAGCATATTGTGGTTGAAGAAGATCTGCAACATCTCGAACTGCAAGATCCCCGTTTTCTATTTCACCGGTCATACTCTCGACATCTTCTACAAGAATAATAAAAATAATTGAATATATAGTTTAACAATTTTTGAAGATTTTATTTTAAAATATTATATATATATAT